CCCACCACCACCCCCCCAGAGAGCTGGTTTACCACTGTAAGGTTTCTCTTAATAGACTTATCTGTTTTTCCAGGTCATGCTGTGGAACATGGACCTTTCAAATCCGTTGTGAAAGAAGTGTTATATGGTCAAATACATTTCAAAAATAAACTGTACATAGAAACTTTCTCTCCTTGTTGAAATCATGATATATACTAATATACTAAAATCTTTGATAATATATGCTGTGAAGAAACCTGTTTAACTTTACATAACTCAAATTTTCCTGAACTTTGTAAATATGCTCACAGAATTCATTTTTTGTGTTATATCTATTAGTAACCCATTAAATTAGCATTTTTCAGAGAGCACTTTGAGAAATACAGAGCTGGATCATGTTTCCTTTTTACCGACTTAAAAAGTGTTTTATTTTCAGCCCTTCCAAGGTAACCCTGCTGGGGTCAGTTATGTTCACATTCCAGCACACCAAGCATCTGGCAATATCAAAGCATAATTTGATGTTCTTCTATACTGTCTTTCTTGTGGCCACAAAGGTAAGAATTCCAAGTAACTATAAATCAGTTCTACAAATCCTGTATAAACATTTTTCTGCATATTAGGCAAGTAACAGGAACATCTATTTTTATTGTTATTACAGTTTAAAAAGATGAATTTTGGGTATTTATTCAGTGCATCTGTGACTCTGAAACATAGTTCTTCTATGACTCCTCTTTTGCTTTATGCAAAGTCTATTTGTAAAGACTTGTAGATAGCCTAGGAGTTTATTGGAGGCCAGAGAATAATGGATATAGCCAAGGCTGATCAGAGAGTGCACAGGCACTGTTGTCTCATTTGTAAGATGATGCATTTGGGCTAGATGTTCTCTGAGTTCCTGTAGGTTCTTAAAATCGGAGAATTTTATATTAGGACCTATTTATAGTTAATCTTCATTATTATTACCTGGCTGAAAGCTTTATTCCCACTTGAAGATAGGAGACAGTATGGTATAAGAGCTTTTAGAAACAGTCTTGGGTTTAAATCCTACTTTTGCTATCTAATCCTTGAATAAATAAGTCACTCAGTGTCTCTGAATCCCGATTTCATCATCAATGTATGATTGTTGAGAGGAATGGAAATGATACATGTTGTTCTATCACTGTGTCTGTCATATCTTAGGAACTTTATTTGCAGCTGTACCATGAGGCTAATTCTGATTATTATTATTCTTACCATTATTAGGGATTGTTCTCTTCTCACAGTTAATTTTAAAATAAGATTATCATTTACGCCTGGAGAAATTTTATAGCTAACTCTATCTTACACTGGATGTTTTTAGTGAAAATCTTATCCACAGGATTCTAAAAAGGAAAACATATATAAACTTAGATCCAAGAAACAATCACATCATTTTAGGGAATCATTTATTTTAGTTTCAGTAGTCTCTTCAGTAGAGGGGATCTGTGGCTATAATTCAAGTACTTCAAATATCTGAGGCAAAATTCCGTCACATGTAACCTCCTCTCCCAGTCCTCAAATTTTATATATATTTTATTTTGCTTTAGGTAAAAGTTTATAGTTCAAGTTAATTTGTCATACAAAAATTTATACACATGTAACACTAGTTTCAATCCCCATAATGTGACAGTACACTCCCCCTTTCCACTTTGGGTTTCCTGTGTCCATCCAACCAGCTCCTGACCCTTCCTGCCTTCTCATCCTGCCTCCAGACAGAAGCCGCACATTTAGTCTCGTGTATCTGCTTGAACTAAGAAGTACACTCTTCATGAGTATTATTTTATGTTTTATAGTCCAGTCTAATCTTTGAAGAGTGGGCTTCAGAAATGGTTTTATTTCTGGGTTAATAGAGCATCTGGGGGCCGTGGCTTTGAGGGTTCCTCCAGTATCAGACAATTAAGTCTAGTCTTTTTATGTGAATTTGAGTTCTACTCCACACTTTTCTCCCAGTCCATCAGGGACTCTGTTGTGTTCCCTGTCAGGGTGGTCATTGTGGTAGCTGGACACCATCTAGTTCCTCTGATCTCAGGCTGATGGAGTCTCTGGTTTATGTGACCCTTTCATCTCTTGGGCTAATACTTTCTTTGTCTCTTTGGTGTTCTTCCTTCTCCTTTGTTCCAGGTGGGTTGGGACCAATTGATGCATCTTAGATGGCTGCTCACAAGCTTTTAAGACCTCAGACACCACTCACCAAAGTGGGATGGAGAACACTTTCTTAATAAACTTTGTTATGCCAGTTGACCTAGATGTCCCCTACAACCATGGTCCCCAGACCCTGGCCCCAGCTATTCTGTCCCTCAAGTATTTGGATGTGTTCGGGGTACTTTTTAGCTTTTGGTTTAGTCCAGTTGTGCTGACTTCTCCTGTATTGTGTGTTGTCCTTCCTTTCACCTAAGAGGATTCTTGTCTACTGTCTAGTTAGTGAATTCTCCTCTCCCTCCCCACCCTCATAACCATCAAGAATGTTTTTTTCTGTGTTTAAACCTTTTCTTGAGTTCTTATGATACAATATACAATATAATAACAATATGTGTCCTTTTGCGACTAGTTTCGCTCAGCATAATGCCCTCCTGATTCATCCATGTTGTGAGATGTTTTGCAGGTTCATCACTGTTCTTTATTGTTGTGTAGTATTCGGTTGTGTGTATGTACTATAATTTGTTTATCCATTCATCTGTTGATGGGCCCTTAGGTTGTTTCCATCTTTTAGCTATTGTGAACAGTGCTGCAATGAACATGGGTGTGCATATATCTATTTGTGTGACAGCTCTTGTTTCTCTAGGATATATTCCAAAGAGTGGGATTGCTGGATTGTATAGTACTTCCATTTCTAGCTTTTTAAGAAAGTGCCAAATCAATTTCCAAAGTGGTTGTACCATTTTACATTCCCACCAGCAGTGCATAAGTGTTCCAGTGTCTCCACAACCTCTCCACGATTTATTATTTTGTGTTTTTTGGATTAGTGCCAACCTTGTTGGGGTGAGATGGTATCTCACTGTATTTTTGATTTGCATTTCTCTAATGGCTAATGATTGTGAGCATTTCCTCATGTATCTATTAGCTACCTGAATGTCTTCTTTGGTGAAGTGTCTGTTCATATCCTTTGTCCATTTTTTAATTAGGTTATTTGTCTTTTTGTTGTTGAGGTTTTGCAGTATCTTGTAGATTTTGGAGATTAGATGCTGATCGGATTTGTCGTAGCCAAAATTTTTTTCCCAGTCTGTAGGTTGTCTTTTGACTCTTTTGGTGAAGTCTTTTGATGAGCATAAGTGTTTGATTTTTAGGAGCTCCCAGTTATCTGGTT